TATAAATGTCACATCTGGAAGAGAGGCGTACGCACGTGTTTTTGTGCGCACGTTCGTTTTCTCTGAATCACACTTAAGCACTTTTGAGAAATGATCTTAGAACAAATTTAGGATGGTTTTTACACAACATTTTATAAATGAGGCCCGTGAAGCTTGAAAAGTAACGGCCCTAGTACTGAGCCTTGAGGTACTCCATACTGGATATTGTAGTATATATTTTTTATTTATCCTTTATTTTTCCAGGAAGGTCCCATTGAGATAAAAGAAATCTCTTCTTCCAGGGAGTCCTGGCCAAGATGACCGTACAAAAAATTTCACATAAAATTTCACAAACATACACCTCACAAGACAAAATTACATATAACCAAAGCAAAAACAATAATCATAAATCAGTAAATTAATTAAAACAACAACATGATTCATTTACTGCACTGCACTAAATTTTTTAAAATATTCAAAGAAGGAATTGTTTCTAATGGAGTTACAGTTTGAAATTCATTCCACAACCACGGAGCATAGTATGAGAAACCTGATTTTCCATGCTCTGAATGTATCTTGGGTATTTCTAATTGAATCCCTTTTGATGATCTGGTGATATAATTCTTTCTACGTAGGCATAAAAGACTAGAGATGTAATTTGGAAGCATGCCCAACAATGCCTTTATAGTATACACTAACATATGTGATTTCCTTCTTTGATATAAACAGGACCAACCTACTTTATTATACAGCAAACAATGAGTACGTGAGCAAGCATTTGTTATAAATCGCAATGCAGCATGGTAAACACTATCCAGCCTTTTCAATAAATACGTAGAAGCATGCATGTAAATAACATCTCCATAATCCAAAATGGGTAAAAATGTACTCTGTATAATTTGCTTTCTAGCTCCAAAGGAAAAAAAATGTTTTTGCCGAAATAGAAAACCCAATCTTGGTTTAAGTCTTTTCACCAAGTAATCAATATGTACATCAAAAGCTAACTTCTCGTCAAGCCATACTCCTAAATACTTATAATCTTTTACTCTTTCTATGTGCAGGCCATCAATAGTAAGAATTGATGGATCAGAGGACAAAGATCGACTACGAGTAAAAATAATATATTTAGTTTTATTTACATTTAGAACTAATTTCAGTTGTAGTAAGGTATGCTGAAAAGTATAAAAAGAGTCCTGAAGAATTTCAATGGCTTGAGACAAAGAGGATGCAGCTGAATAAATAACTGTATCATCAGCATAAAAATGTAACTTCGCAGAGTTTATTCCCGGACCTAAATTATTAATAAAAATAGAAAAAAGAAGTGGTGCCAATAAACAACCTTGTGGGACACCCTTCTTAACAGTTAACATAGAAGTATAATACGAGTTCTATCCGATAAATAGTTTTTAAAACAACTCAATGCCAAATTACCAAGGCCTATACCTTTAAGCCTCTGTAGCAGTAGTGCATGATCCACTAAGTCAAATGCTTTTGTCAAGTCAACAAATAAGGCGGCACAATGCTGCCTTTTATCAAGAGCAGTGATTAAATCATTTGTAACTAATGTAGTAGCTGTTGTCGTACTATGGCCTGCTCTGAATCCTGACTGAAATGCATTTAAAATATTATGTTTAACTGTGTTCTTTCAGTTGGTCATTTACCAGGGACTCAGACACTTTTGCTAAAACTGGTAGTCTAGAAATAGGACGATAATTATTCAAATCAGAGGGATCTCCACTCTTTAGTAATGGCATAACCATAGCGGATTTCCAAGACGGCGGAATTACATTGGTGCATAGACTCAAATTAAAAATCGATGCAATAGGTTCAGCAATAATATCTGCAGAAACTTTATAAAAAACTGGATCAATTTTGTCAGACCCACCTGATTTTTTACAATCTAAATTTAAGAGTAATTTATGAACTTGCGGGGGAGATATAGGGTTAAAAGAAAATAACTCTGAGTTACTTTTTAAATGATTCAGCAATTCCGTTCATCAGTGTTCAACAAATTATTATCTGTTATCGAACTATTTGAAATAAAATGTCTGTTAAACGAATTAACAATATTAACCTTGTCTATAATCAATCTTTGGTTCACTTTTAAAACTTTTGGGAGACAAGTAGAATTATTCGATCCTGTAAGGGATTTCGTTATTTTCCAAAATTTAGAAGGATCATTCATATTATTGTTAATCAGATTAAGATAATACTGACTTTTAGAACTTACATTTTGTACACTTGTTCCGTATTAATCTATAATGAGACCAGTCTTCTTCACTATTTGTTTTCTTTGCTTTTGACCAAGCTACATTTCTTTGCCTAACAAGGTTTGAGATGGTTTCATTGTACCAAGGATTATTTTTTCCACTCACCCGAAATCTACGGATCATCATTATTATTATTATTATTATTATTTCTGTTGTTTCTAGAAGTAATAATTTTCATAATAGTCAATCGAAAAAATATAACCACACACACATTGTTTGTCCACAGAATAATTACACATTGTTAAATAAAAAGCGTCCCCGCACGAACCTCTACCTCCGCCAGCAGGACCTCAATTTCAGTCTCAGTAAAGTTATTTTTTCTTTGTGCTTGTCATTCTCAAGCACAGAAATTCGAATATTGGCATGTGCTCTTTTATATGGTAATAATATTAATTAGGGGTCGTTTACAAGGCGGAGATCTGACACGAACTTTTCCTTGTGGCAAAGTCGGAGTAGTGCAACTATTTGAACTTCTAAGCTGCAATAATAATAAAAGCGGTGTACGTGCACGCATCGAATTCATCATAAACAACGAAGATGCAGTGTGAGAGATTAATTGTGCAGTGTAGTCAGATTTTTTATCAACGGGAGTTTTGCGAAATTAAACTGACCTTTTTAGTAGCCTAATGTTGAGAGTTCTTTACTCGCTTTCTGTAGTTTATTCCAAGTCGTTGTTTTTTTTTGTTGTTTTTTACAAGAGAACTTGCGAAGTCTTGATTTACTACTAATGCGTAAAATAGAAAAAAATAAAAATGCATAAACGCATCTCCGACTGTTTTGTCTGTGCAGCCTATAAGAATAGGCCTATGTCGTGCAATAACGGTTTTAATAGCCTATATTCTATTCAAT